CTGAAAGGTAAATTTTATCGTACAGCAATTAGGCCGGCATTAATGTATGGCGTAGAGTGTTGGGCGGTGAAGCAATGCCACATTCAAAAGATGAGTGTGATAGAGATGCGTATGTTGCGTTGGATGTGTGGACATACCAGAAAAGACCGCCTGAGGAATGAGGTAATCAGACAAAAGGTGGGAGTAGCACCTATAGAAGATAAGATGCAGGAGTCTCTTTTGCGGTGGTTTGGGCATGTGCATAGAAGACCGAGTGATGCACCTGTTAGACGACTTGAGGGGTGGGGAGAAGAGTCAGATAAGAGAGGGAGGGGAAGATCCAAACAGACTTGGATTAGAGTAATCAGAACTGATATGCGTCTTCTTGGGTTGGATGAGAGTATGGCTTTGGAGAGAGCAAAGTGGAGGGCGCACATCCATGTGGACGATTGATGTCTTGTCTACCTTTCCTCTCTTGTTTCTTTTATCGTTTATCTTCCTTATCTTTTTATACTCTTATGTTATTTTTATCTTCTAGCTTTTTTATGCTCTTTTATTTATTTTTCTTTTATCTTGGTTATATTCTTTTGTTATTGTTATCTTATATTTATGTATCTTTATTTTATTCATTTTATCTTACTTTTTTTTCCTTTTCTTGTCCGCCTTCTCTTTTTGGCATCGATGTCATAGATCGATTCATGTTAGCCGACCCCAAATTATTTTGGGATTAAGGCTTGGATGTGTTTGTTGTTGCTGTTGTTTCATCGATTTTTGGTGAAATTCATGTTTATGATTATGGAAAGTTAATCCTTTGTACTTATATGATGAATGTAAACATGATTCTTGTCAAAAGATTGGAATTAAAGTTGAGAATTGGGGGAAGCTCTTGAAAAATTTTCAGTTTTTAACCCTAGGTCCAAATTTCCTAATTAATCTTAAAATTATTACTACAATTGATGATTAGAATGGTATTGCAATACTTGTGTTCAGACATATACATTCTAAGCCTAATTGTTGCATCAATTGGAGATTAATTTTGAAAATTTGGGGAAAATGTATGAAAACTTTATACCTTGAATAATGAGTTGTGGGTGTGGTGTTTGTATTTTCTTCTAAGCATGCAGGGATGCCTCAAAAGCGGAAACAGAATGATGGTGCCTCGTCCTCTTCAAGTTCCAAATCCCGTTTCACTTCTCGTGAAAATGAGGAGTGGTACGAGACTAGGAAAAACTGGGCAATTGTGGTAGAGAAGACCGTGGACCCTGTTCTTAACACTACTTTTGAACTGACGGAGGCCTTCATGCGACTAGGGTGGGCTGTGATGCTTACTCTGACAGGGGCCTGCTACCCCCAATTGGTCCTAGAATTCTACGCGAACATAACTGATAAGGACACGAGCTATGTTGTCATCCACACGTTTGTCAAAGGCAAAAGCATCCAAGTTGATCCAAGCCTTCTCTCATGCATACTAGGAGTCACTGATGAAGGGAACACCCTAGAATACAGTCAGAAAGGGATCCTCAGTGACAACACCTACGATGAAGCTCAAACACGGGAACGGTATAGGCTTCCAAAACTCCTCACCAAATATTTGAACATCCGTGAACGCCTCCTCATCTACCTCATTGGATTTAACATTGTTTCCCGAGCAAGTGACTGCCATTCCATCCGAAAAGTAGATCTCTACCTTCTCTCCAAAATGTTAGAGGGGTTGGGAGCAACTCAAGGAATTCCACTTCCCCACCTCATTCTCAAAAATATGAAAGCCGTGGTCTGCTCCAAGAGAGGTGATAAGAATTTCTGTTACCCTCTCTTACTTACCATGATTTTTAAGCATTTTAAGGTGGACCTTAAGGGTGAGGAAGTTGCTTACACTACTGACTCAAATGTCTTGGACAACACTACCATGGCCGCTCTGTAACATAAATTTGAGTACGGGGAGTGGCATTTCCCTGGACGATTTTTTGCTCACTTGCATGATGAGGAGGAAGAGAGGAGATCCCAAGAAGACATAGCCATGCAAGATGAGCCGGATAGTGTAGACGTGCCCGACGCACAGGTGCCCCCACAGACTACCGATCCCACATTAGCATATTTGATCCAATCCATGGATCGAATGCATACGCGGATGGACACATATGAGGCACAGCAACATGACATGTATACCCGAAAAGAAGAGCTCTACACCGACTTTGACACTTTTGAGACACGCCAAGCGCGTATGGAGGAGCAATTGCAGGGGTATGACCAAAGGTTTGGGGACTTCACCCAACACAACTACAACCAATATGGGAACCCCCCTTCCGATTCACACCGTTAAGTACGCCTTTGTTATTAGTTCATAACATTATTCTTCTCTAAACACACTTAATCGTGAATGTTATTGGGAAGTGTTTGTTTATCATGCATCATACATCGGGACAATGTATTTTAAGTGTGGGGGTGCATCTTTTGGGTAGTTAAACAATTTTTTTGTGTGCAAAAATATTTTTATTTGTAGGAAGGTAAAATTGTCATAATTCTCTTTTTAATGGGTATTTGGTTGAGGAAGTTTTTTTTTATACAAAAAACTATCATTTTTTAGATTACTTCTTACTCTTGAAAATCATTCCCAAAAAGCACCCTTGTGACAAAAAAAAACAACCATCTTCTTTCATTTCCAAAATGGTCAAAATACATCTCACCTATTCAAAAACCATTCTGGAAAACAAGCCCACTCCATATCAATCAAATAAATTGGCATCATCAAATGACTTTCGGTAAACACTTGTTGAGAACCATTTCAAATGAAAAAAAAAACTCATGGTCTCTTCTAAGAAGTTCAACTGATCCATTTCAACTAGCTGAAAAGTCAAAAACGCCAAAAAGCCACCTCATACACCCAAAATACCGTTAGTCACACATATCACTCATCAATCTCAAAAGTATAAGTAGTTTCTAAATCTAAATGATAATTTTTGTGCCAAAAAAAATGGTTTTTGGTCCGAGAATGATAAAAGAGTTTATATGTCATTTTTACCTCTCTTAAAGTTGATTTATTTTTGTATATAAATCTTTGTTGAAATTAACCTAAGCACCTAAAAGAGGAAGAATTTGCTTGAGGACTAGCGATGCTCAAGTGTGTGGGGATTTGATAAGTATGATAATTACCTATATTTTATATAGGTAATTATGATTATCTGTACGAATATTCAAAGCTGAAACAGGTAAAAATCCCAATTTGAGCAAAACCGCACAAAGACGTCAAAAGATGAAGAAACGGGTATCAACAGTCAAAAGGGATCGAAAACAGGCACTTCGGGATCAACTATGGGTGTAAAATGGAGCGAAAATGAAATATTGCACAACAGGGGAGAACCGGCGCCGGTTTACCCTCATAACCGGCGCTGGTTGATTTAATTTGTTATTTTCCAGAAATGCCGAAAGAAAACGGGAGCCGGTCCACCCTATAACCAGCGCCGGTTATGCCAATTTCCTGTGTTTTTTCAGCGCCGAAAGAAGACTGGCACCGGTCAAGTATGAAACCGGCGCCGGTTAGGTCCGATTCTGCACAAAACAAGGAGACGTGCAACAATATTTTGATGGAAAATCCTCACCTTCCTCATGATCTGATCAAATATATCTTCCATGCCTGATTGTTGGGCTCGAATAGACTAAAAGATGCCAATCTTTAACCTATATAAAGCCCTCAATTCATCAAACAAAATCATTCCATTCCATAGATTAATTCATAGCTTTTAAATTTTGTTCTTGCTATTTTTCTTCAAGTTCTTTGGAGAAGAATCTATTTCTCTCCTCTACAATTGGTTCTAGGTAATTTTTCTTGTATGTTATTGTATTTATTTGTTCTTAGTTACACTTTTGTAATTAATATGAGCATTAGAGGCTAAATTCTTAGCTAAGGCTAGGGATGAACTTCTATGCCCACTAGGTGTTTGATAAAAGTTCTAAACCAATAAATTGTGATTTATCCTTTATATATTGATTGTTTATGACTATGGTGTACAACATAGAAGTATGTTACTTTTAGTTTATACTTGCAATTAACGTTTAGCCCGGTCAATATATATATATATATATATATATATATATATATATATATATATATATATATATATATATATATATGAATATATATATATACTCATAACTCAATTTCACATAATATATATACTACACATACATTAGTTTTGTTAGAGTATTTGTCTCACACCGGAAAGCTATAAAACAATAAATCACTATATAAGTCTTTGGGCTACTCCTCCTATCAGGTTTACCTTTTAGGATGGAACCCCAAGTCTTAACATGGTTTCAGAGCCGATTGCGGTTGTGGTTTGACTGCTTGTTTAGCACCCATGATTACGAGTAGCCTGTTAAGGGTCTGTTTGGCCCATTTATACACCCCCAATATTGTCCAACCTCGCTCGGACTAAAGGGACGTGTTAGAGTATTTGTCCCACACCGAAAGCTATAAAAAAATAAACCACTAAAAAAGTGTTTGGGCTACTCCTCCTGTTAGGTTGACTTTTTAGGATGGAACTTCAACTCTTAACAAGTTCGAATAAAAAAAGTCAATGTGAAATTCCAATAACGCGTATATACAATAAAGGAATTTTATCAATTCATGACCCGAAAGATAGATTAATTATCAATTCAAGACCCGAAAGATGAAACGTATCGGTATAGGTCTCGAATGATGGAAAACTATCAATTTAGGACCTAACATTTCATAGGTTTTGATTTATTTAATTTTTTATTAATTCCATTACTAATTTTTAGTAAACATTTTTTCACAAAAGTTTAATAGTTTAATAAAACGAAATAATATTTAAAATTTATTAATAAAAAAAATTATGACAACTTAGGTCCTAGATTAATTGTTTTCAATCATTCAGGTCCTAAATTGATAGTTTTTCATCATTCGGGTCCTATATTGATGCATTTTATCTTTTAGGTCCCTAATTGATAATTAATCTATCTTTCGGGTCCTGAATTGATAAAATTCCTACAATAAAATTGGAGGGCAAGATTGTATTAATTAATATACTTTAAAGATTTCCAATCTAAAATAATACATGTTTTAGCATATGTGCACTCCGTATCCAATGTAATGGATCATAACGATTTCAGCAAGTCCTCAATCATCCTTGATGAGATTGACACAACGTTGCCATATGTTTTTCATGTTGTCTAATACTTCCATAGAATCTCCAAATTCCGGGTAATCCATGTGATTGTCGCTAGCTGCCCATAACGCGTAGCATTCAAATCCCCATTCAATAAATTGGGAGCAACACAATCGTGAAGGAGTCTTATCTGTTGTCCGCTCACCATCTTGCTGTATGAGTGCAAGAACATGCTTCCTGCATTCACTACAAGGTGGTTGCTTGTCCGGATAAAATTTTAGAACATAATCCAAAACGCCTGGGTCTTCCTCATCGATTATTCCAATTGAAAATCTCATATTGGAGATTGTTACTATCAAAAGGAACGTAAAATATATTTTGGATGTTCTCATTTTTCTTGGTCGATTAGATCTCTAATGCTATGGGCACTGAAAGGTGAAATTAATTTAGATCGAGTTTGTTAAGTTCCCTCAAGACATTTAATATATAGATGTGTGGATGGTGAACGGTTATATGAAAAAGTAAAGATTATATAATACTATCTCCGTCTTTAAAAGGTTTGTCAAATTGATTTTTTTGTTAATAATCGCAAACTTTGAACAATGATTAGGTATTATATATATTTGTATATAATTTATAAAGTTACCCCAAGACATTTAATATATATGTGTGGATGGTGAACGGTTATATAAAAAGTAAAGATCATATAATATGGAGTATGCTCAATTCAACACTAACCTCATTATATTATCACTACCAAATTTGTGTGTCTACATCTACGGCAAAAGTTGAATATGTTGCTGCTGCTAGTTGCTGTTCACAAGTACTATGGATGAGGACTCAACTACGCGATTTTGGAGGTTGAGAGCTTACGCCTTAGAGGTGGGTTGAGAGGTTGAGAGCTTAAGGCTTAACTTTTACTAAAACACCCAAGACCTCTAAGGCTTAAGAGCTTGCATTTTTTATGTAAGTGTATATTAAGGATAACTATAACCTTTCTTTATAAAAAAGTGAATTAAGAATTACTATAACTTTTGAATAAAGAAAAATAACCTCTTAATCAAAATGAACAACTTTTACGAGTTTTGCTAGTTATTTTGTCATGGGTGGAGTTTGGGTTGCAGCTTTCAAGAGTCATTTGCAGCTGCTGCAAATGACTATTGATGTCTACAAGAAGACATTTGCTTCTGAAGGTGTCACAGGACTTTACCGTGGCTTCAACAATTCATGTGTTGGCATCATTGTGTACAGAGCCATAGTCTTTACTTTAGTTTGTAACTCCATAGAGCCATTTCTCCTAATTGGAAATTTACCGGAACATATAATTTCTTTGCTAGCTTTACTCTTGGTTGGCTGATTACAAATGATTCTTGGTTGGTTTTTCCCCTCACTTATAAATAAATAAGCTTAACTTTTAAATCTAAATCTATAACTATTATTGTGAAATTGATAACTAGCAAAAATCAGAGCAAAATAATGACTAAAGTTCATTAAGAAAAAATTCATTGTAGTGGTTCATTTGGACATTGTCTGCACTCATAAAAGCAAGCTTTAAATGTCTATTTCACATGATCAAGGGAATGTTTTCAAGTTAAAATTCACAGGATCTAGACTAAAGTTGTTTAAATGTATTATCAAACTTTTAGTTGTTTATAAGTTTACCAAGAGAATGAAACTATAGACAAATAAAAATCAAAAGCAGATATTGGTTAAAAACACATAACTAGAACTGAAATCCTGATTCTAAGGGAAAACACAAGATTATATCAGCCTTTTAAATATTGGATGTTAATTACATACAAAACTAACTCGAATATTGAATAAATTAAAAATTAATATGCCTAACAATAACAAATTGAAGATCAGTCAAACCAAATTTCGAAGAATTTTGAATCAAGCATCAGGAACCAAAGATCAAATAAAAAGAGGTTCTCCCGTGCAAAGTGCGAACAATTGCACTTTTTCTTCACCGCGTTGCACTTTTGCGTGTTTCTGTTGCACTTTTTCGCGATGGCAAAAAACTTCGTTTTAATTACGAAATTGCCACCGCGTTTTTTATCAAATTTAGTTCACTTTTGGCTCATTTTGAGCCATTAGATATCAAAATAAACGCACGAGATTAATTCTCACTTTTCATGGAAAGACCTCTTTGTATTTGAACCCTCCCATATATATATATATATATATATATATATATATATATATATATATATATATATATATATATATATATATATATATATATATATATATATATATATATATATATATATATATATATATATATATATATATATATATATATATATATATATATATATATATATATATATACACACACACACACACACACACACACACACACAATCAGAACATAATTTCACATAATATATATACACATACATTAGTTCGAATAAAAAGAAGTCGAAAATTCCCAAAACAATAAAATTGGAGGGCAAATTTTGTATTAATTAATACTATCCCGTTCTTAAATAAATGCAACACTTTGACTTTTACACTATTCACATGTTCTACTTTGACTACGTTTTATTTATTAATGTAATAATATTATTTTATGAAAAAAATATTGTTAAACTTGTCTCATTGTAAATTTTCATAATCTAATTTTTTTAATTTTTTTACTAATACAAAATCATTTATATTAATGGTCAAAGTTGTGTCTCGGCAAGTGTGAAATGTTGACCGTTGCATTTATTTAAGAACGGATGAAGTATACTTTAAAGATTTCCAATCTAATAATACATGTTTTGGCATATGTGCACTTCGTATCAAATGTAATGGATCATAACGATTTCAGCAAGTCCTCAATCATCCTTAATGAGATTGACACAACGGTCCCATATGTTGTTAATGTTGTCTAATACTTCCATAGAATCTCCAAATTCCGGGTAATCCATGTGATTGTCGCTAGCTGCCCATAACGCGTAGCATTCAAATCCCCATTCAATAAATTGGGAGCAACACAATCGTGAAGGAGTCTTATCTGTTGTCCGCTCACCATCTTGCTGTATGAGTGCAAGAACATGCTTCCTGCATTCACTACAAGGTGGTTGCTTGTCCGGATAAGATTTTAGAACATAATCCAAAATGCCTGGGTCTTCCTCATCGATTATTCCAATTGAAAATCTCATATTGGAGATTGTTACTATCAAAAGGAACATAAAATAAATTTTGGATGTTCTCATTTTTCTTGCTCGATTAGATCTCTAATGCTATGGGTACTGAAAGGTGAAATTAATTTAGAATGAGCTTGTTAAGTTACCCCAAGACATTTAATATATATGTGTGGATGGTGAACGGTTATATAAAAAAGTAAAGCTTATATAATATGGAGTATGCCCCATTCAATACTAACCCCATTATATTACTGAAAGGGTCATGTGTTTCATTCTTTATCAAAGTGCTTCATGTGTTTAAATTCCGTTATCACAAGAGGGTCACGCCGTTAAAAATGTCTGAAAAAACCCGTTAAAAGTAACTTTGATTTTCAAAAGTACCCGAAAAATAAAAAGAAAAATACTGGAAGGTGTGCCTCAATAAGACGCCCGCTAGGCCAGCTTTCTTTTTTTTCAGTCACCCTTGTCACCGGAAAGTCCATCGGAAAAGTGATATTAGCGAAATCAATTTTAAAATATCATTCAAACGGATCTGAAAAATCCAAAGGCGAAGGTGGTTTGGAGATCATCTTGACGAGGCGCACCTTTCGGTATTTTTATTTTAATTTTTCGGGCACTTTTGAAAATTGGAGTCACTTTTAACAGTCTTTTTTCAGACGTTTTTAACGGCGTGACCCTCTTGTGATAACGGAATTCAAACATATGAACTACTTTGATAAAGAATGAAACACATGACCCTGTTTGAAAATGGCCCCAACCACAAGTACCTCTTTCGTACTTTTCCCAAAAAAATAAAGCTTATATAATATGGAGTATGCCCCATTCAACACTAACCCCATTATATTACGTAACATATATCTATTAATATTATTTTTCAAAATATACTAATTACCTTATTTAATTATTGTTTAAATAACGTGTCATTTTGTCATGAGAACTTTCAACGGGACGGAGGAAGACTGGTCATACAGTAGTTCTTCTGGGTTACATTTTAAACGCATACTTTATTTATCTTATTTATCTTCTCGGTTAACATGAATTGATCCATGATATCAGTGCCAAAAAGTGAAGACAGACAAGAAAAAAACGAACATGATAAAGATAAATAATATATATTCACACATACACAGACACACACCTACTTTTTACGATCTCCTACAATTTAGCACAAAATAATTTGTGTTATAAATCATTGAGTTTTCTTTCCTTTTTAGCTCTAAATTATTTAATATGCTTAAGAAAATAAGTCCCTTCCAACACAGAGTCAAATGATTACTGATAAAAAAGGGGTTTTAAATAACCTGAAATGTAGCTAATTATATTTAAGAAGAGGTAAAGCATTTAATTTGCCGCTTTGCGGTGCATTGGAATGGTTAATTACATTGCATATGTTTTAAATTAAAGACAAATACACATGTTCTTAAAGTCCATAATAATGGTGCATAATAACGTATGTGAGTACATATACGCTTCGATCACCTCTTTTTATAACCGTTCACTATCCACAACATATATTACTCCGTAGAAGTCTGTATGTGTTACTCCGTTTTAATTAGTAACATGCTATTTCTAAAAAATGGCTGACAGGTTGACTATTTAAGGTCGACTATTTACATTGTAATAAGGATTTTTCACCCGTGCGTTGCGCGGGATGAAGTTCATAAATCATAAATACTCCCTCCGTTTCGAAAAGATTCGTCAAATTGATTTTTCTTGGTCAATAACAATCAATTTTGACCAATGATATTTTTTAGTACGAAATTATTTAGAATATGAAAATTATGTCAAAATGTTCCTTATACAAAATATTTTCATAAAAGTATAAAATTTATAAATTATACTACCTCCATCCCAGTGGACTTTATCAAGTTCAAAGTAGGTGACAAATAAGAAAAGTAAAAACTGTATGATTGAAATTTTTGCAAAGGAGGGAGAAATGTACAGAACCACAAATTAGTTGTTTTAATTGGAAAGTGACAAAGTTTTTTGGGACAACCAAAAAGTAAAATTGGCAAAGTCCATTAGGTCGAAGGGAGTATACAAATATAATAATTAACATCATTATCCAAAGTTTGTCACCATTGATCAAGAAAAGTCAATTTGGCGAACTTTTTCGGGATGAAGATAGTATTGATTTATTTTGAACGCTATAAAAGCATATATTAATAATAAGCTTCATAGGGTTGGTGGGTGTAGTCCAATGGATGACCATCCACTCTCAAGTCTCTTCTTTGTGGGAGGTCTTGGGTTCAATTCCCACCAAGGGGAGATGATGGAGGTCTTGCTCCCAATGATTCTTCCTACCTTCA